TTAAAAGCCACTGGGACGTTGTGTTTAGAAAATAAACGTCTCAGTTTATCTGATACTCCCTCAACATACGGAATGACCACTGGTCTGGGTCTGGGTTCCTCCTTTTCACCTGATGGCTGACTGGAGTCCTGTTTGGGTTTCTTCTCTGCTTTCAGGAAGGCCCAGTTAGGATATCCACATTGCTCTAGAGCCTGTCTTGTGTGGGATTTCTCCTTCTGCCTGGCTCCTGAGTTAGTGGGGACGCTGTCTGCTTTGTGGTACAGAGTCCTGATGACTCCTAACTTGTGCTCCAAAGGGTAATGGGAGTCGAACTGTATGGAAGTCTTTCGGATGAAAGACAAAACGTTTCTACAATTTTTTTTTTTTTGAATGTCCAGAGGACCAGATTTAACTTTTTTTTTAGAAAGCACAACTAGCATTTAATAAACATAAACATAAAATTAAATAATAATAATACCTCTTAATTCGAAGAATCAGCTGGTCTCTTAACAAAATTGATCAACTTCTCCCGACAGGAGTCAGGGCATAACCTCGACGGAAACAAATTGGATTCATGATGACAACTATTTTTTTTTTTTGCTGTTTGGCTGGTGAATTCTGGATTGTCTGTAAATTTGTGTGGAGGTATTGAAGCTCGACAGCACTCAGACTGAATTTGGGGAGCTGCAGCAGGGAGCTGGAGCAGCTGTTATCAGGACTGTGAACTTTCTGGCAGCACCCATGAACGGTGGGAATAATCTTGGAGAATGCTGTGAGCTTGACTTTTGACGTAAAGTATTAATTCAGCTATTTTGGAGTTCCATCAGAGGAATATATACCAGCAAGACTTTAAAAAGACAGAAATAGCAATTCACAAGTTGTGCCTGACCCAAACTGTGGCCTTGACGCCGGACTTATCTCAACTCCTCCTGGAATGTTTTGAAAACAACAAAGATGCTTTGACTGTTTCCTCACCCCTCCCTTCCCCTAGACCGTGGACATGTGACAGAACCTCAAATGAGCTGAAGATGAATGACACGTCTTATCTGGACAATGGCTGGGGGGGGCTCTTAAAAATTAAATGTTTTCACCGGCCTATATGTACA